GAAAAATAGGTGTAAATGTGGGACGACCGTCCCACTACCAGTAAGTAGAAAACAATGTCGGACGGCTGTCCGACATTTAGCACAAACACCGGGACGGCCGTCCGAACCTATTTGGGGCGTTTTAAATTTAAAAAATCAGATTTTCTCCCCCCATTATTTGCTAAACCCTCCTCGTTCCTTCTCTCCAAATCCCACACACAAGGAGGCTAGAGAATCAAACCAAATTCTCCAAAATCTACTCTTTCAAGGCACGCCCACAAGGTGTTCGACAATTTGCTCCAACAAAATTTTGAGTTCGATTGTCAACCAATTCTCACGGAATCTATTCCAACCTCTCTCCCAACTATGTCGTCCAACAAACGAGGCCGCACGAGCTAAGCATCATCTTCCAAAGGGAAGGGAAAGGGAAAGAAAAGTGCCACCGTACCCGAGCTTTCCAATGAGGACGAGCGTGAGAAAGCGAGGGAGGAGCACCCCGATCACATCGAACCCGACTAAATCAGATGTTTTCTATCCTTAAACTTTGTGCTAATTTCGTTGAGGGCAACGGAAATTTTAAGTTTGGGGGTGAAAAAACATGTTTTTGTGCTTATTTGTTTTAGTTTGCATGCATTAGGTTTTATTTGTTTTTATTGTTTTTCTCGTTTTTCCGGAATATAAAAAAAAAAAAAACAATTCTTGAGTCAAATGCATCGATGATTTATGATGATGAGGGATGATCAATGTTTGATGATGAGATTGCTTGTTTTGTGTGATAAGGATTAGATGTTTGTTTAGCTTTGGATTCAACGGAACTTAGAAGCGAATTATTGCAAGGACTCACACTTTGTGCATTGCTTTGGTTGAATGTTTTGTATTTTAAATTTGGAATTAATTTGTGCTAGATCATGCTATGTTCGGTTTAGAACTCACCTTAGGAAATTTATGATACGAAGTATTGAGTAGTGAGTGATTTGGGATATGATTTGGGCCTTCTTTGAACCGTTTGAGCCTTTCAAGCCGACCTTTTTATCGAAATTATCCTTAGAACCTTGATTTGAGCCTCAGATAAAAGGTGTTCTTTCTTTTAGCCAATGTGTAAGGTACAATAGGTGGAGATTCTTGAAAAATTACCCCTTGGAGTTCGGTCGAAAAAATTTATAAGGTCCTTCTTCTTCTTCTTTGAAAAAAAAAAAAAAAAAAAAAAAACCGAAAAAAAGAGATAAATATATATGCTTCTATATGTATATTAAAAAAAAAAAGAGAAAACGAGAAGAAGAAGAGACTAGAAGGGAGAAATAAGGACTAGTTTTTGAATTGTTTTGAAAACTCGATCCATTGTCTTAAGAGCAAAAGTGGAGACTTTTGAACTCTTAAGAATCGAGTTTATTAAAGTACTTAGAGGTGAATTCATTGTTTCAAACGCCTATCTTTCAAATTTTGGCGTAATCACCTCAATTCAAGAAGAATAGCAACATATACCCATATTTCCTACCTCGAACCAAAGAGCCTAACAATTGAAAGCCACACAGCCCCAATGATCCCAATAGCTTAATGTTCGATATTAGTAGAGTAGAATAATTTAGTGAGTATTTGGAGTCAAGCATATGCATGTAAGTCTAAATTATTTCTATCTTTAATTTGCAAATATTGGATGCTTGAAGCAATTGTATAATTGTGGTTTTCGGTAATGGTGAGTGACTAAGTGCTGTTGAATTTTGAGCTTGCGAATGCCTAAGAATTGTCATTATAATTACAAGTTCTAAAAACGTGAAGTTGATCATTGATCTATGTAATGAGATGTAATAGTTGAGTTATTTGCTTATTGGTAGATTTTGCTTGAGGACAAGCAAAAGTTCAAGTTTGGGGGTGTGTTAAATGTATATTTTTACACTTTATCGTACCTTTTTATTTGAGCTTTTGGTGTGTTTTAACGATAATTGGTGCTTAAAAAGTTTATTTATTGTATTTTAGGTACAAATTGAAGAATTGGAAAAGTATGGGGTCAAAACTGAAATTTTGGAGAAAATATGGGCCAAAAGTGAAAAAATCAAAATTCTGAAGATTTAAAGCTCGGACGGCCGTCCGAGTTTTAGTTCAAATTGTGGGACGGCCGTCCGAGACCCCGAGGCAGCGCAGTAAAGGGATTTTAATTGCACAAGGAAACTGCCTTCTTCCCCAAGTTTTTCACCCTATATAAGACCAAGCCAAGCACACAATTGAGGATCTTTTTACGCAATTTCAAGAGCAGCAAAGCAATAACGAAGACGAAGAATTCGAAGACTCTAAGCATATATTTATCGTTTATGACTTATTTTATTTGCGTTTTTCCTTTAATCATGAGTAGCTAATTTTCTTATTTCTAGGATTTTATTTGGAACCCTATGTGGGATTTATGAACTATTTTCTATGATTTTATGCAAGTTTTAATTCTGGATTATTTCTCCTACTTGTTTTATTAATTGCATGAACTTGATCACCTTATGTGCTTTTATGTTATTATTAATCGCATGAATCGGAAGATCAGGTTAATAATTAGAATTGTGGTAGAAGAGCCTTTGTGGTATTAGAGCAACTCCAATGGGGGAATCAAATGGAGTATTATATGATAAAACTTCCATTTTAATTCCCAATACTTAAAATTTCTTCTCCAACGGAAGCATCAAAGGGGTAGTTTTTTTTATTATCAAATATTCCTAGAAATTAGGACCTGCAATTTCAACGTAAAAAAAAAAAAATTCTAACAAATTCCTATGGAATAGGGACCAAATATATCTATTAATTTATGTTTAATATATATTTAAAAATAAAATAATTTATTTGATTCCTACGGGTTGGAGCATATAAGTTTTTCCGAAGTACAAAAGTATTATTTCAAGCATCAATTAAGGGTTTAGATGCCTCATTTTAATACCTACCATTGGAGTTGCTCTTAACATAGGAATATAGTTAATCTCTTAGGTAGCCATTATTGAGATTTGGGCTTAATGGTGTGTTCTAGAATTAATTGCATAGGAATATAGTAATTGAATCTAGAGTATTAGAATCGTAATACACGCGGAAGCGGGTTATGATTATTTTAGCATCTCAGGTTAATAATCCGGGTTAATTGCTTGCATAATTGAAGGAATTGGGGGAATAATAATCACATAGGGGGGAAAATAAAATCCTAGGCTTGTCTACTTTGATTAATCTTCGTGTTTAATTTGCTTTCTTAATTTATTTTAATCTAGTTAATTCTTTCTAAAGTCGACTATGTAGGGTGGGCTTGATAATAATTGGTAGAATTTAGCGTCTAGGACTAAGTAATTAAATATTCCCTGTGAGTTCGATATCCGGACTTAATTGTCCACTATATTACTTGTATGATACGTGCACTTGCGTGTAGGTATTTCAACCAACAGATGTCAACGCAGAAATATACTCCCCGGAGATTCTCAACACCATATCATGATCCGGAATTCCACCGCATAAGTTGACATTGAAAAGAGGTGTTCCCGTTATGCTCATCAGAAATATTGATCATGCCGGATGACTGTGCAATGGAACAAGGCTTCAGGTTATTAATATGGAAAAACATGTTCTCAACTCCAGGATCCTATCCGGTAACCATGTTGGTGATATGGTGTTCATTCCTAGAATGACTGTGGTACCGTCCAACTGCGCATTGCCTATGAAATTCCTGCGACGTCAGTTTCCGCTGATGGTATCATTCGCAATGACAATCAATAAATTAAAATTCAAGAACAAACTCTTTCTCATGTAGGCCTATACTTGCCGAGGCATGTTTTAAGTCACAGACTCTATGTCGCACTCTCGAGAGTTAAGAGTCGAAGTGGCATAAATATTTTGATTGACTCGAAATCTGGTGATACGACTAACGTTACAAATAATGTTGTATACAATAACGTTTTTCAGCGTATGTGAAGGTAATTATGTATACAAAAAATCACAATATTCAATGACGACCTTTATTATCTATTATTTATATGTTTTGTTATTCCTCATTTATAGGTTTATTTTAATTGTACTACGAATTTGCTATGGACTCCACTCACTATATTTAATGAAGGTAATTTTCTTACAATGAGTTTATGCCATTAAACAGTTATATTGGTATTGTTTTCGTAACAATTTACATATTTCGTATGACCATTGTACAACGTATACAGGTCAGTTGCATTGTATTGGATTTGTTGCATGCGTTTAGGGCGGTTGGTATCAAACAAAATAACACTGATTGTTTGGATCGAATTCAAGATTTGAACGTTCATATGTCATTGTGGTTGTTAAAATTTGGGACCAACGATATATTCGCTCTTTGTGTGTGGAAATTAAAACCTTCGATGTTCAGTTTTTTCATTTATTTCGGCTTATTTCATCACTTACACAATACAAAATACTTATCTTTTTTTAATATTTCTTTGTATTACATATCAACAATTAATTTTACTATTTCGAGAACCTTTTTTATTGTTCAATATTTTTTTTGCGATGAATACCCCGTGCATCGCACGGGTGTAGTACTAGTTGAATTTAAACACTAAATAATGTTAGAAAAAAAAATGAAACGATAAAGACTTTGAGACATAAACTAAATAAAATAAAAGTTGTGAATATTGAATTATGGGTATTTATAAGTGAAAGTAATAATTGAGAATTTTTTTAAAATTTAAAAAATTCAAAAAATATAAAATTCAATCTTTCTTTTAAATTAAATCGTATTTTTTTATATTTTTTAAAATTAAATATATATGCATTTGTTATTATTAGAGATTTTTGATATTAATAATGAGCTAATTGCATATAACCCCCTGTGTAATCTGGAATTGTTAAAAAACCCCTCATGTTAAAAATATTAGCATAGACCCCCCTATATTATTTTTAACAAAGCACACTGCCCCTTATTACAAAATTAGCAGTTGACCTATAGAAAATGACTAAATTAACCCTCATATTATAATAATTTATGTTTCAATTATAAATAAATAAAACTGCAAAATGAATATAATTAGAACAAATCAAAAAGAAAAAAAAAAAAAAACATAATGAAAAAGAAGAAAACCCACGGCCATCATCTCCTCCCCCAACCCAAAATTCTTCCATCTGCATCACCACCACCTCACCACCACCTCCGCACCACCTGCCTTCCCTCCCCAAAAAAAATTATGCTTTATGTTTAATTTGATGGGTTTTTCCAGATTTCTTTTGAATCAAGATTTTTGGTCGCGACCCTATTCGTCTCATCTCTTCGTCGGAGGTGGGTTTGGAGGCGGCATCATCCGGGCCGGATGAAGCATCCATGGCGAGGAACAGATTTGAGAAGAAGGAGACGGAGAAAGAAGATGAGGTTTTGAGAAATTATGAAAATTGCAATTTGGTCCTATGCAATTTGGAGAGAGGGCAGCGGCGGCGGCGTGGTTGAATCGGAGAGTCGGCCAATGATTCTTCGAGTTTGACATTCTTCTTCTTCTTATTCTTCCTGAAGGTACGAATTAAGTTTTTACAAATTGGAAGAAAATGCTATGGAAATTGAAAGAAATTTCTTTGAAGGGTTTTTGTATATTTTTTTGTTTGGGCAGGGATGTGCCGAAAATTTTTGAGGAGCCGTTTTTCTTCCATTTTGTTTTCTTGGATTTGGAATAGAAATGAACTTCATGTTCAGATATGGGTTTGGTTGATGGTTTTTGCCGGAAAAAATCATGGTGAAAAAGTGGAGGACTAGTTGAAGAAGATGGCTTAATTGAAAATATAAAGGACTCAATTGAAAATCTTAAAAACTTCATTTTGGTACTTATAAAGTTTCTGGTTGCATTTTGGTATTTCGTGTCAAAAAACGAACCCCCACTCTCATCCATGGCGAGTGAAGTGCACGGTGAGCTCTTAAGGGCCTTATTGCCTTTGACTAATTTTTATAGGGGGGTATTTGCTAATTGTTTTAACACGAGGTCGTTTTCAGCAATTCGAGATTACACAGGGGTGGTTTTTGCAAAAAACCCTATTAATAATAGTCAACATGACAATTAATAATTTATAAAACATTAGTTATACAATTGATATAATAAGGAATATATATAACATAAAAAAAGAATATATATATATAATATAAACAAGAGGTGTAAAATGATTATAATAAATAATGTTAAATAGATTATTAATTATCATATTCATTATTATTAAATAGTTTTAATTAAATTATTAACAAATATAATATAATAAAAAAATAAAATAAATTGAAAGGACTTGAGCTTAATTCATTTAAATCTTACGATTCGATTCTAATATTTGAATAAAATGTAAATGTTAAAAAAATGATTAACTCATATGACCTACGTTTTAAGTCTTACGATTTTTACAAATTAAACCAATTATTAAAAGAGAAATCAAATCATAATATTTTGATTATACTTGTCATATATAGTTTTTTTTTAAGTAAAAAATTAACTAGAATTAGATATAATCTATTTTTGTTAAAATAAACATCATCTATATTTTTAAATAATTATCTTATGATAAAATCATCAGTAATTTTAATAAGTTCTTTTCAACAATTGAGGTTAATCAATTTAAATTAATTGAAATGAGTTATAATCTATTTTTTTTAAATAAACATCTTATTTTATTTTTCATTCGAATTTTTCACACCATCGATTTTAATAACATAAGTGAGTTGTATTAAGTCAACGCGTTTGTTTATATATTGAATTAATTCAATACTTTATAATTTTCAATAGTGGAGATTATATTGATATAGTAATTAATAATAGATGTTTTGAAATATTAAACCGTGATGCTATATATATTTTTAAAAGTTTCTTATATTGCATTTGTTAATAATTTAATTAAAATTATTTAATAATAATTAACATGAAAATCAATAATTTATTTAACATATTTATCATTTTACACTAGCGTTTTATATTATATATATTTATTGTCTATATTTAATTAAATATGTTTGTTGCCTCAGTTGTTATAGTTGCCCAATTCTGCCCATTTTACCTGAGTTCGAATCTCTCAATGCCCAAATTTTGGACAAAAAAACCCCAAAATCCGGGGTTGCCCGACGGGTCCTTGGGCCGGGTTCTCGGGCCCGCCGCCGGGTAGACTCGTCAGGTCTCGGGTCCAAAATATCCGGACCCGAAACCGACCCGTGCATAGGCGGGTCCGGGTCCGGGTCCGTGGTCAATGGGGCGGGGCGGGGCGGGGCGGGTCCGGGCCCGGGTCCGGGTCAAATCCGGCCCGTGGCCGTGTCTAGTAGCTAAGATTACACATATATCAAAAAGGTAAAACAGAGTTATTTATTAGTTAGGAGTATAATGGTGATAATTAAATGTTTTTAATTAATAAAAGGTGTTTTGGTTTTATCTTAAAAATAAGAAATAAAATTTGGCTCATTGTAATGGCATTTGTGTAATGGAGGGGTTTTTGTCAAATTATCCCTTAATAATTTCTCAACAATTTTTTTTTCTTTTTAATTATAAATGCAACAAGATTTTGAAAAATCAAAAATTTATTTTCCATATATACCAATATACACCATGTTTAAACAAATCAACGAATCCCGCTCGTTCATTGTAGGTTACCGTTTTCATATAATTCTCAGAAATTAATCTTCCATGATTGTATGAGTAGGAAATCGGCATTACAAATATCCAGAGTGGTTTTTGTAATTTGTGTAAGTTTCATATTATCGTACCTGGATTAATTTCATAATTAAATTGTATATGTATGAACATGTTTATTTTGTTTGTTTTGCTTGAAAGTTATGTTGTTGTTTATCCGAGCAATAAAGCGGCTTTCTAATTATACAGAGTGGTTTTCAAGGTTATATAGTTGCTTATATATACGGGGTTGTTTTCATGTTTATATAGTTGTTTATGCAGAGTGTTTTTCAAGATTATATAGTTGTTTATACATAGTGATTTTAATGTTTATATAGTTGTTTATGCAGAGTGATTTTCATAATGCCAGGCTCTGTCTTCGATTTTCTTCTTCTTGGAACGATTTATCTATTTTTGGGTGGGCAAACGATAATTTTCTACTTGAGTTGGAGCATGATTTGGGAGAAGATTTTTTGGGAGGATTTTTTTTAAGGACTTTTTGGGAGGATTTTTTGATGCTATTAATTAAGGAGGATTTGCATTTCTCAACATTTTTTATTTTATTTTATTTTATTTTTTAATTTATTGGAATAGTTGGGACATATAAGTTATTTTGGGTTGATTGAATTTATGACAAATATTAATAAAAAAATGAATTTATCAAGAAATCAATTTTTTCTCTTATGAAAATCAAGAAGTCAAAATTCAATGGCGTTTTTTTATTTATAAAATAGCCCCGACATCAATAGTAAATATTAACTTGGGCAAATGGCAAATAAGCCCATGACAAAGTCACTTAATTAAAAGAGGGACATCCAACTTTTTTGTCTTTGAAATAAATCTAGCCCATTCAAACTTATTTGCAAATAAGGAAAATCGTTTTATATATACTAAAATTACCCCCAATTCATTGAAACCCAATTCAACTCCAATTTCATGATTTACAACATAATTTAGCCCAATCTCATCAATTAACCAATTTTAACCCTTATTTCAATTTTGACCCCAATTTTGACCCGCCACCACCGGTCGCCGCCGTGGACCTCGTTTTTTTTCTTCTTTTTTTTGAAAACTTTTTTTTTTCCGCGCCGGGTCTCCGGCCTTGAATTTTTTTTTATAATTTTGTTTTTTCTTAAAAAAAATATTTTAATTAATATTACTGTCTTGGCTGCTAAATTACTGTCTCCAGCAGTTATTTAACTGCTGGAGACAGTAATTTAACTGTTAATTGACTTTTTTTTCTTCAAAAATATTTTAATTAATATTACTGTCTCGATGCTAAATTACCGTCTCCAACAGTTATTTAACTGTCGGAGACAGTAATTTAACTGTTAATTGACTTTTTTCTTTTTTTTTTTAAATATTTTAATTAATATTACTGGATTCGTTGCTAAATTACCGTCTCCAGCAGTTATTTAACTAAGATAGTAATTTAACTATTAATTGACTTTTTTATTCTTAAAAAAATATTTTTAATTAATATTACTGTATTCGTTGCTAAATTACCGTCTCCAGCATTTATTTAACTGTCGGAGACAGTAATTTAACTGTTAATTGACTTTTTTTTTTTTAAAGTTTATTTCTTAAAAAAAATATTTTAATTAATATTATTGCCTTGGCTGCTAAATTACTGTCTCAAACGATACTTTAACTGTCTTAAACAATAATATTATTGTTCGGGAAAATAATATTCATAATATTACTATCCCAAACAGTAATATTACGGTCTGAAACAGTAATTTAGTAGTCAAGACAGTAATATTAATTAATATAT